GATTGCAGAAAGAACAAAGAGAACTATCAGAACTAAGAACTCCTCGCTTTACCAGCTCTGTAGAAACCGGCAGCCTTTGATGCACTGTCTTCCACACAAAACAAGAAACTTTTGGAGGGACGAATTTATACCAAACCACTTTCCAAATTGAATCTTCCATTTTTCCTGCTGAAGCCACCTTAGAACAAAAAGATTTAGGAGTGTACCAACCATTAGTTGCCCCTAACCAATACAATCTATCAAGACCCGGAGCTAAGCTGACAGCTCTCGACAGAACCAATAAAAACTCTGACCAAATAGCTCTTTCCCATTCGAAAAACTCTCTTCTCAAGTCAATCTTCCATTCCCAAACTCTGTTCTCCCAAAACCGAAACTCAACAATCTTCCCAGATTTTTTTAACGCCAAGGTGAAAATTCTAGGAAATGATGATTTAAGAGAGAACACTTCCGTCCAGTGATCAACCCAAAAATCAATTCTGGTACCATCTCCCATAACACAAATAAATTCAGCAGACAAATTTCCTTCAATGGAAACGACTGGGTTGACAATATTACTCCACACCCAAGAGGAATTACGCTTACTTACCACGTCAAGAAAAATAGTGTCTAGCCCGTACTTGTACTTGGAAACAATTATTTTTTCCAAAGGCAACCGTTCTCCTCACCAAACCGCCAAATCCACTTATTAAGCAACGCTCGATTCCTAATTTTAACATCTTCAATACCCAAACCCCCATGAAATTTAGGTCCACATATAGTATCCCACTTTAACCAATGAATTCCCCTATCCAAATTGCCCTTCCAAGCAAAAGAAGCTATGACTTTGTTAATGGAATCCGCTATGGACATGGGAATAGGGAATAAGGACATAAGGAAGACGGGTAAATTAGATAACACGGATCTAATCAAAGTAAGTCTGTCCGCAAAAGATAAAAATTTTCCTTTCCAACCCTGTAATCGAGACTTTATCTTATCCAACACTAGTAGCCACAAGGCCGATGAATTTCTTTTATGACATAATGGGAGACCCAAATAAGTCGTACGAAACGAAGCCCATCCGTAATTAATTGACTCAACCCAACTTATAATCATGCTTTCATCGACATTAATCCAAAAAATCTTGGACTTCTTCGTATTTAATTTCAACCTCGTTGCCAACTCAAAAATTTTAAGAACACGATTGAAATTTTGTAAACTTCTTTCATGTGCTGCTGAAAACAGAAGGAGATCATCAACAAATTGAATATGCGAAATTTCTACACTTCCAGACCCAACTACAACACCACCACACAACCCAGCAGTAACTGATTTATTTAACATGCCACTAAGAGCCTCCCCTCAATGTTAAAAAGCAGTGGCGATAATAGGCAGCCCTGTCTTAGACCCCTCTTAATTGAAAAACTGTTGGAAGACATACGTTAACTAAAATGGCAATGGACGGAGTCGAAATGCAAAAAAAAAACCCAATTTCTCCATCTTTTTCCAAAACCCATTTTCTTAAGAATCAGGTTCAGAAAGTGCCAGTCAACTGTGTCAAATGCTTTACTAAAATCTGCTTTAAAAAGCACAGCATCATTCTTACTTCTAGAGATGTCGTCAATAACTTCATTCGCAATCAGTGCACAATCCACAATCTGCTTACCAGAAATAAAAGCGAATTGATTCTCCCCCAACACTTCATTGAGACAGCTAGCCATTCGTTTTGCCATAACTCGCGCCACTATTTTATTCAAACTTCCCACCAAAGAAATTGGTCTATAGTCCTCCGGATAAATAGCCTCACATTTTTTCGGGATAAGCGCGATATAAGACTTATTAAAAGAGATGTCCACAACTCTACCCCAGTAAAAAACAGCCATGAATAGCATGACATCAACCTTTATAACCTTCCAGATTTTTTTGAAAAAATCCAAATTAAAACCATCCAGACCTAGTGCTCTTAACCCATCGGACGAGTTAATAACAAACCAAACCTCTTCTTCAGTAAAAGGACTCTCAATAAATCTTTTAGAGGCCACGCATAATCTCTTTAACGGAATGTCGAATTTCTTGACAAGAATTGTTTTTACATCATTAAAATTACACCGAAAATGACTAACAAAGACTTGTATTCTTGATTGGTGTTTAACGATCAAATTGTTTACCTTCAACTTTGTAATCTGGTTAACTCTTACTCTAGAAGCGGCAGTTAGTTGAAAGAATTTCGTGTTTCTGTCCCCTTCTTTAAACCACCTAAGTCTTGATTTTTGAAGCCAATCTCGCTCTTCTTTCCTCAAAACTTCCCACAACGGAGCCTTTAAAGCAACAAGATCGGACTGAGCAGAACTTAAACTGGGGTTAGCAATACAACTTTTTTCAAGATCATCAATGTGTTTTTCAATTTTTTCCGCAGAATCAAAATTGCTTGCCCGAATTGATTTTTCTCTTTCTTTTGTCACAACCTTAGTTTGCACAAAGGATTGCATAATATTTTTACCTCTATTAGACTCCCACACATCTTTAATTTTATCAAAAAGAACAAAGTCTTCAGCCCAGTGATTAAACCATTTGAAAGGCCTGCTCATTTTTCTTTGCTTCCTTTCTTTAAGCACAATCGGGTTATGATCCGAAAGACTTCTCGGAAGGGTGAACTGCATCAAACCAGGGAAAACATTGACAATATCCGGAGAGATCAGAACACGATGCAGCTACTTGCAGCTACATTCGGCCCACCCCTGAACCAAGTGAAAATACTACCCATAATTGGAGCTTCAAACAGCTCCCACCTAGAGATGAAATCTTCAAACAAACTCCTCGCAGCAAACTGATCAGTGACCCCAACTCTTTCCGACGTATATCTAACAACATTAAAATCCCCACCCACTATGAATGAGCAATTGAGATTAGCGATTACACTACTTAGATTTTCAAAAAACCCAGCTCTTTCACTATGATTGTTCGGCCCGTAAACATTGACAAAAGCAATCTCAGAATTATTGAAAATCAGCCTACCTTTAATGGCGACAATTCTCCTAAGAATAATATTTCTAGTCATCTCAAACACACTGCGATCCCACAAAGTAATGATCCCACCTGAAGCACCAACAACAGGCGCAAACAGCAGTTCCCTACAAACTCTGCCCTTAAGAAATCGTTCTACCGACACAAAATTTCATTCACTTTAGATTCCTGTAAGAACACTATACTCGGTTTATTAGATTCTAAAACCCGATTGATAGCTCTTAATTTAATGCATTTCCCCAACCCTCTAACATTCCAGCTCAATATTGATAATTCTGAATCCATAAAATGCACACACACAAAAGAGAGAAATACGACAATAGGCAAACCCCAAATCAGAGCTTACTCGAGGTCACATTCTGCTCCAAACGATGAATGACTACCTCTTTCGGGGCTGAGAAGACAACTCCAAGAGTCTCACCAACCCCATAGGTAACGACCGCTTCATTAACTTGCCCCGAAGCAACACCGGAATTTCCCCCCGCATCACCTTCTCGGACCACTGAACCCCTACTGCCCTTCTGAACCTTACCGGTCCTTCGCGGACACTTCTTCTTCCTCTTTGAAGTATTGCTTTCCAAAACACGGTTAGACTCCTCCATCACCGCTCCCTTATCTTGCCCCGAACGATCAATGAAGTTTCCCCCCGTAGGAAATCTCTGCCAGCCGCACGCCTTCTGCCCATTTGAACCTTAGTGAGCCTTCTCGAACTCTTCATCTTTCTCTTTAAAGCATTTTTTTAAACACAACTAATCTCCTCCAACGAAAGGGCCAGGTTTAGAAAAAATGGGGCCTCGTGCACATTCTCTCCATCAGCCACCAACCTTTCCACCTCGATATTCAATCGCCCCATACTGCCTGACACTGCTCCATTAACATTGTCTCTCCTAGAAACAAGCGAAGCATGAAGAGATGCTCCATTACGTTCTGCCTCGGGGCCAAACCCGATAGCATATTCGTCTTCAGACCGTGCAGCAACACCCGTTTCCTGAACATCGGAGAACCACGCTCCTCCACCAGCCGTCGAGCCATCTAAAAATACTCTAACCTCTTCCTGAACTACTGAAGAAATTTTTATGGAGTAAAAACTTATTTTGTAACTTATCGCACTCAGATTTAATGTATGCTTCTTCTTGTAATAGTAACATACTTTTTTTATGTTTCTAGATTTTGACCTAACCCTACCATCACCACCGGTAATCTCTTCTTGTATCCTTCCACTAACAATGAGATTATTTGCTTGAAATTGATAACAAAGTCCAATCGCGAGATATTTTATCTTGTCATAAGAGGATAAAGCATCATATGCTTAATTAACAATGAGAGATTTATGATTATATAAAATAGTATCTCTAAAGTTTAATCATAAAAGGATAATGAACAAAGTAGAATTAGCCTCAAATATTCTTCATTATACTTAACCTATGGTTTCCAAATTTCAGACAAACTACTTAATGATGGTTAAGTGACCTATCAGAGATGAATTATATTCCAATCAATAAGAATAAAATCATTACTTCAAATGTAACTTGCTAGTTAGGATTTTCACCCGGCACAGTTACTCCAATTTCAATCATACAACAATCACATTATTCTTTTCCTTCAACATATGCTATAGTATCTAATACTTAATGGTCATTTCTATTATGCTAAACTGATTGTACATCATATTTTGAAGTTACTTCATTGAACCTTTAGTAGAGAAGTTTCATTATGGAACTTGGAATTGTTAATTCTACCCCTAGACAAATATGAACATATTACAACTCTACAAATTCATAGGTAAATTTACCAAAAGTAACAAGTTTAAGGATTAATTGTGTTCATCCTAAACAACCTGAGAAAAAAAGTCAAACTCTAAGATGGTAAAAATGAAACCTAATCTTAAGACTAGAGATCAGTTCTAATGCAGGTATTTCAGGAATTCTGTTATCGCAAATTTCTAACCGCGAGACTGGCAGCATCTTGAGTTGGTCATATGCTACAAACAAGTATCGCATTTTAACCATCTTCCCCAAATCTACACCACAAATCTCACCATAACAATGTCGAAATTCGATCCATACCGGCACCTCAGTATACTTCCCAACCCTGACGGTACCATCACTCGCTGCACCGACTTCCCCTGCACCGACCCCAACCCCGATATAGTTCCAGGTACCTACCAAAGAATCAAGGGGTGACCGTCTTATATTTTATATAATTTTTTTGTGTTTTCTATTAATAATCTGTTCTAATCTTTAAATTTTATAAGTTTGATCTCTTCCTAAATTTTAGATACTCTTTCCTAACATAAAATTGTGCCCATCCCTATAGGTATCCCCACTGTTTCCAAAGATGTCACCGTCAACGACGAAACAAAGGTGTGGGCACGTATTTTCCTTCCCAATAAACTGCCGTCCAACGATAACACAGTCGTACGATTACCCATCCTTTTCTACTTTCACTGTGGTGGCTTCATCCTATTCAGTGTTTCCAACACCGGAACTCATCATCCTTGCTCCACCCTTGCCAGTGAAATACCCGCAATTGTCGTAGCAGTGGAATATCGACTCGCCCCCGAGCATAGGCTCCCGGCACCGTACGAAGATGCCATCAACACGATCCTATGGGTAAAGAAACAGGTCTTGAATCCCGACGGAGAAAGATGGCTAAGAGATTATGGAGATTTCACAAGATGTTACCTTGGTGGACGTGGCAGTGGTGGAAACATAGCGTTTCATGCTGCTTTAAAAACACTGGATTATGATATAAATCCTTTGAACATAAATGGTATATTTTTAAATCAACCGATGCTTGGTGGGAAACAAAGGATGCCATCAGAATTAAAATACGCGACGGATCAGTTGATACCATTGCCCGTACTTGATCTGATGTGGGAGTTAGCATTGCCCAAGACGACGGACCGCGACCATCGATACTGTAATCCGATACAAGATGAAGTGTATATGAGTAGGGCCAGTTCGATAGGAAGGTTTTTGGTGGTGGCATTTGACATGGATCCGATGTTCGATCGGGTGCAAGCATTCGTACGAAAGCTGGTGGATCACAAGGTTCAAGTCGATGCACGTTTCGATATTAAGGGGTTCCATAACATTGACCTAGTGGATCAACAAAGGGCGCAGGCCATTTTAAATATTACTAAGGAATTCATCATTTGAAAGTAGTAGTTCTTTACATGCATTAAGATTGCATCAGCCAACTATGGCTTTTATCCATTGTGTGTTTTATGTATATAAATGTAAGGTCTATTCCAATGATCAACGGGTCTTTTTCAGTTCATTCTTCTTCAGTTTCTATTCTATTATATATTTTGCTTTCTTAAACCGAATGGTCTCAAATTCCACACTCTCGCTTTTTCGTCTCTAACATTTCCAATCATTTCATTGAGTTGGTGCCTTTTTTCCAGTTGAAAATTTATGCAGAATATTCTCCATCTCGTCTTTGTTTTTTCCAGTTATTTTAAGTATCAAAGGTGTTTTTATTAAATACCTTAAATATTTTTTAAAATCCCTCAAATATGAGATTGATTAAGCACGTCTTCACATAAATCGAATACTTTTTTAATATCTGTTAAGTAGAATACCATGTTAGAATTGTAAACGAATTTATAAAGTTTGGACTAATTATAATGATAAATTCGATTGCTAATTAACTGATGAATTTGAGATCATCCATTAGTTGTAATTGATGGGATGTTTTTGGTAACACACTTTTTTATCCTCAAAGTTCTTTATATTCTATATTTTTAGGAGCACAAATTCTGAAGGATCATGTTAATCATGTCTATTTTGAGAATTATATCAATTATGACAATTTTACTTTTAAGACATTGATTCATCTACGACATGGTCAATCTTGAGTGTTTTCATTCAATTATATTATATATTTCAATCAGTGATAACATCTCGATTTTACAATAATACTTTAATATTTTCATGATATCACTTAGAGTAAAGATGCATCTTATCAAATAAGTATTTTAAAAGATGTAGTCAAACTTTTATCTTACATGCTAAAATTAAGTATTAAATACTTTAATAAAACGGTATATATATGTAATAAAACAATTAGGTGGCTCTGATTGAATCAGATATATGCTAAAATTTATGTGCATTTAATTAAGCGTCAACAGTCCGATTGAATCATGGATCTTGGATTCAGGGGCATCTTTCCACTCCATCCCATGCCGAGAAATCATGGAGAACTATGTCAGTGGTGATTTTGGGAAGGTTCATCTAGCTGATGATGAAACCTTGAAGATCGTCAGAAAAGGAGACATCCGACTAAAGTTGCCGAACCAGACTACCTAGAAGCTGACAGGAGTGAGACATATTTATGGCCTCAAAAGAAATTTGATTTATGTAGGACAGCTTGATGGAGAATGATATAGCACAACTTTTTCAGGCTGTGAATGGAACATCACCAAAGGAGCACTCGTCATTGCTCGTGGTAAGAAGACTGATACTCTCTATGTAACCTCAAATTTAGAGAATATCATTATTGCAGCAGATGCTGATGGAAAATCAAACCTATGACACCAAAGGTTTGGCCATATGAGCGAGAAAGGGATGAAGACACTTTTGTCAAAAGGGAAGTTGTCGGATCTAAAGAATGTAGATGTCGGACTATGCGAGGATTGCATCTTTGGAAAACAAAAGAAAGTCAGCTTTGTAAAGATTGGTAAGACACCTAAGGCTGAAAAGTTAGAGTTGGTTCATACTGATGTATGGGGACCATCTCCAGTTCTATCTCTTGTAGGCTCATTATATTATGTCACCTTCATCGATGATTCTACAAGGAAGGTGTGGGTTTATTTTCTGAAAAAGAAATCAGAAGTCTTTGATACCTTCAGAAAATGGAAGGCCATGGTGGAAAATGAGACTTGTCTGAAAGTCAAGCGGTTGAGGTCTGGCAATGGAGGAGAGTACAGAAATCGTAGTTTCAGAGATTTCTGCGCAAACAATGGGATTAAGATGGAGACAACAGTTCCCATGACACCGCAGCAGAATGGCGTAGCAAAGCGCATGAACAGAACTCTGAATGAACGTGCCAGAAGCATAAGGAAATATGCCGGATTGCCTAAATTTCAATGGGCTGAAGCTATCAACACTACAGCTTACTTGATCAACCGTGGGCCCTCAATTCCTTTGGATGGCAGAATACCAGAGGAAGTTTGGAGCAAGAAAGAAATAAACCTTTCACACTTAAGAGTGTTTGGTTGTATTTCTTATGTACACATAGACTCTGCTGAAAGAAGTAAACTTGATGCTAAGTCCAACAAATGTGCCTTTGTTGGTTATGGCGGTGATGAGTTCGGTTACCTGTTTTGGGACTATGAAAATTGGAAGATCATCAGAAGTAGATATGTCATTTTCAATGAGAATGTGATGTACAAAGAAAGGTCATCTGTAGAATCAAGCAGCTCCAATACCGAAGCTGAAAAAAAAGGAATTTGCTGAGTTCGATGAGATTTCTGGAAATGATGTTCAAATCAGTCCTGAAGCAGTTCAAGAAGAACCAGGCACACCGGAACTAAGACGCTCCTCCAGAATTCCTAAACCAACCCAGCGGTATTCTCCTTCTTTGCACTACTTGTTGCTGACTGACAATGGTGAACCAGATTGCTATGATGAAGCAATGCAAGTAGAGGATTCAGTCAAGTGGGAGTCTTCCATGAAAGATGAGTTGAACTCGCTTATGTCAAATCAGACGTGGGAATTAGCTGAATTACCACCAGGCAAGAAAGCGCTCCACAACAAGTGGATTTATAGGATCAAAGAAGAGCATGATGGGAGCAAACGCTACAAAGCAAGATTGGTTGTCAAAGGTTTTCAGCAAAAAGAAGGTATTGACTACAATGAAATTTTCTCTCCAGTCGTAAAACTGTCCACAATCAGACTGGTGTTGAAAATTATAGCTGCAAAGAATTTACATCATGAGCAGTTAGATGTAAAGACAACTTTCCTTCATGGTGATTTGGAGGAAGGAATCTATATGAGGCAGCCAAAAGGCTTCATAGAAACAGGCAAGAAAAACATGGTATGCAGGTTAAAGAAGAGCTTGTATGGATTAAAACAAGCTCCTAGACAATAGTACACTCGTTGCAGGCTCGACATGCAAGAGATTATACGCTTGAAGCAAAAATTGTCGAAGCAGTTTGCTATGAAGGATGGGTGCTGCCAAAGCAGATTCTTGGGAGGATCAAGAGAGACACAAAGTCGGGGACTTTGATGTTATCACAGGCTGAGTACATCAACAAAATACTCTCTAGGTTCAACATGCAAGATGCTAAATCAGTAAGTACACCTTTAGGTGTTCATTTTAGACTCTCCAAAGAACAATCACCAAAGACGGAAGAAGAACGTGCACACATAGTAAAGGTGTTGTATGCCTCAGCAATTGGAAGTCTGATGTATGCTATGGTATGTACCAGACCAGATATTGCTCATGCAGTGGGAGCTGTTAGCAGGTACATGAATAATCCAGGCAAGGTACATTGGGAAGCAGTCAAATGGATCCTCATATATCTGCGGGGTACCACAAACAAAGCACTTTGTTTCAAAGGTGGAGATACGATACTGACAGGCTATGTAGATGCTGACTTAGCCAGAAATGTTGACATCATAAGGAGCACTACAGGGTATGTCTATACTCTAGGATGTACTGCAGTGAGTTAGGTTTCTCAACTACAGAAGATAGTTGCTCTCTCCACAACTGAATCAGAATATGTCGCTGTTACGGAAGCCAGCAAGGAGATGGTTTGACTCCAAAGTTTCTTGGAAAAGTTAGGCAAGAAACAAGAAAACAATGTCTTGTATTGTGACAGTCAAAGTGTTATCTATCTAGAAAAGAATCCGTCTTTTCATTCCAGGACGAAGCACATACAATTACGGTATCATTTTATCCGGTCTCTTCTGGAAGATGGGATTTTGAAACTTGAAAAGATTAGTGGAGCTCAAAATCCGGCAGACATGTTGACAAAGACGGCGACCACGGACAAACTGAAGTTGGCATGCTAGAGTAACAAGACCAGCAATATTGTTGCATTGATCGAGGTGTGAAGACAGATTAAAATCAGTCTTCAAGTGGAAGATTGTTAAAAGTCATAGAAAAAGGCTGCAAAGTCATAGAAATAGGGCTGCCGAAAGTGCAAATTAAATGCACATAAATTTTTCAATTTTCGGTGCAACTATATTTGAAAGTGAGAAGGGTAAGTCTCACAATTAGTCATTGAACTTAAGGGTATTTTCAAAGATTAGTCCCTAAGCTTCAACTATAAATACCCTAGCTCATTTAGCTTCTAAATCATCCCAAAAATCATTTTTTTCTCCCAACACTAGAGAGTTTTCTTGTGAGTAGTGAGTGTTTTGTAAACACCTGTAAATTTTCTCTCTTAGTAAAAGATCTGCAGCAGTCCGGAGACGTAAGCACAATTGGCTGAACTCCGTTATCAATTTCGGGTATTGTTTTTCCGCTTTTATTTCGTATTCTCACTAATCTAGTTATAGGGAAATTACTCGTACTCGGTTTATTTCCTAACACAGAAGTTATGGTGATTAAAATTGTATCAGAAGTGTTATTATGCAATTTTTAATAGCTTCAGTGGACGTTATTTTGCTATATAATGCAGGGCATTGAACTTAATTCATTAATAAATCTTCAGATGAGCCAAAAAATAAATAAAACATGGACTGACCAAGTTTACCGGTAGTGATGAACTATAATTGATGGTGTTAAGTGTGTCCATGAATGTGATTCCATATCTCATTTAATGTTTTTCCCTTCTTTCTTTGGTGTTTGTTGTGCTTTATTTGAAGTGTTTTGATGCGCTTTTGCGGTTGCATATTTCCATCAGTTTAGCACATGAAAGTTATCATCAAACTTGTAACACCAAAGAAAACTGAATACAGTATCGCTCTTGTGTCAGTGCAGCCGACTGCGTCGTTATTCAACGACGGTGTCCCGCCGTTAATCGTGGCCGGAGGAGACTGAGCTGTGTCACTAGGAGGCTCGACGTAGGGAGGAGGAGGAGGCTGGTTGAGGCTTGGAGGCAACCCATTGCCGTGACGGACGAGGATCTCGAATGCCAAGCCGTGCTGGCATTGAACACCATCGTCACCGTCGGAGAAGTAGTAGTTTGCACCCTCGATGGTCAACGGAACCGCGACGGTCATTGCTTGGTCAAAGTCTGTGTTGCCGCCATTGTATTGGAAGGTATCGGTGCCCAAAGCGTCGTCCGTTGTACAGTTCCGATACGTCGTTTCATTGTAGGTCTGGATCACCGTTTGATTTGTACTGGTCCTGAAGACTAATATTTAAAGTTTGAAGATAAATAAATAAATAAATGAGAAAATAAGTTAAAAATGGCGAATGGAAAATAAAAAATTATTAAAGCTTTGGATCTTACTGAGATAGTCGCCAAGATTGAAAGTTTGATTAGTGGCCCAAGAAGTGTAATTAGTGGCGGACGTGTTAGTGACGGACTGGAAGAACCAGCCTGCGTCACCGCCAACGGTGTGGTTGGTGTAAGCCGTTGCGACGGTGGTGGTGGTGATGAGAAGGCCGAGCAACGTTAGAATGAGCTTGGGGTTGGAAGCCATTAGTAGCGTTGAATCTGAATTTGCGCGTTTGATCTGATTATTTAACCATAGCTCTGGCCTCTGAGGTTAAATAAAATAGGAAGTAAACGGTAATGGAAGGAACGTGTAAGCCACATGGGAAAGAGGGTGTTCTGATCTCTTAATTAATCTAATGCTAGATTTTTATCCCAGCCTCGCAGGGTAGTTAAACAATATAAATTTTATTTTAATTACACTAAATATGTACTATTCAATTCTTTATATTTTAATTTTAACTTTAGAGATAATTAGAAGTTAAATTTTGAGTTCGATTATGCATATATTAAAGTGAATTTTGAAGTTTTTCGAGTAAAAAATTTGTCGTAATCGTCTTTCGGTTGGGCCTCGAATTGGGATTCGACTTAAAATAATTGAATTGGAGTCGACACCGACCATATTAAAACGAATTTAGGTGGGTCGGACATCATCTTACATGATCTGCATTTTTACAAAAAATGTGTCGGGTTTTGGTGTCGGGTTCTGGAGTCGGTTACGGTCAAGGAAGGATTAGCACCCTTGAACCGCCATTTCGGCACCAATTAATTTGCCGGTTGTCTTAGTTGTGAAAATTCGAAATTTAAATTTAAATTTAACAGACCCGATTCAAATTACTTACAATTGATTGATTTGAATACCCTTAAAAGATAAAAACGTTAGATTCGTAGCAGAGTATAAAATCGAATTAGGATAGCAAGTGTGCAAACGTGAGAATAATAAATAAAACAAGAAAAAATAACAAATAACAAAACACGTAAAAAAATAATAAAAAATAATAAAAATAAACAAAATGAATAAAATGTTTAAAAAAAAGACACGAATAAAGGAAAAAAAATTAATGGAGTAAAAAAATAAAAAATGTAAAAGAAATTAAAAAGAATAAAAATAATGTGTACACATAAAAGTAGTATATACTAAAACAAATAAAAATAATAAATATATAATACTAAGTAAAACAAATAAAAAATAAAGATATACATGATATTAAGAAAAAAATAAAAAAAATAAAGTAAAAATAATATATATATATATATATATATATATAAACAAAAATAGAATATTAAAAAAATATATATAAAAACGTAGAAAATATAATATTAAGAAAAAATATGTACATAATAAATGGATAAAAATTAATACATCTACATACACATATATATATATATATTATAAATAATATAATATAAATAAAAAAAGGAATATAGTAAATAAAAAATATATAATTAAAAATATATATATATGGGATGAAATTAATATAAAAGTAAAATTAAAGGGTAAATTTCAAGATAAATTAAAGATTAAGATTGACTTAGGGGGAATATTAAATACTTTAAAAATGAACATGCCTCGGGAGTAGATCTAGGTTCGAAACTTTGAAACCCCACCCGTTTTTGTAAAAAATAATAATAAAAATATATATATGGGATGAAATTAATATAAAAGTAAAATTAAAGGGTAAATTTCAAGATAAATTAAAGATTAAGATTGACTTAGGGGATATTAAATACTTTAAAAAAAAACATGCCTCGGAGATCTAGGTTCGAAACTTTGAAACCCCACCCGTTTTTGGTCATCGGCGCAACCCACGCTTTGGGTTATTCAAACCAAATCTCAAGAAAAATAACATGCACATGCGAGAAATGAACGAATCAATGTAAAAAAAAGATGCTACATTTTATTTCATTTTCTAATCTTTTACAATAGCTTTGCCTTTGTTTTTTTTCGTGCTTTCCTCTGTATCTTATTTGTAAATCGTGTGTTACAAATGGGGAGGATTACATGTATTTATAGTGAAAAAAACTAACTAACAATAGAATCTTAATGCAACTAGACACCTTGTTCGGTTGTTGCACGTTTGCTGGGTGTTGTTTAAAAGATATGGTGGTGGAAGAGTCCTCTTAGGAGAGGAACTCTTGCTAGCTCTATCTTTTAAGAAAATTGGTGTCTACAGCTGCCCCTCTTTGTCCTTTTTTGTGGAACGAAAAATAGGACAAAGATAAAAAGACACAAATTTTTGTTCAATGGAGTTGAAGAATAATTTCCTGTCGAATTGAGTTGTGGATGCCTCCTCCGTCGCGAAGTTGAGTCAATCTTGAAATGATTTGAATCAGAATGTGGCTTCTCGTTGTAGTTCACTTTGGTCTTCTTCTCGGTTTAAAGACCTTGGCTAAAAATTCGACTGGAAAGTAATCTCTTGACTCCACAATGTGGTTGATATGCCCTCGAGCTGAATGAAACCGAACTCGAAAAGTCTTCGCTGACAGATAGTTTTTCTCGACTTAAGCTATGCTGACGGAAAAAAGGCTTCTTGCTACTAAGGCACGGCTAACTCAGATCTTCTTCTCGGCTTGAAAACCTCGATTGCAGCCGGGCAATAGTGTGATTGAGGTGTTATCGAGCTTAATGGAATCGAACTCGATAATTTTATTGACAGATAGCCCTTCTTGCCTTGAGCTATGCTGTAAATGATGTTCCTTGGAGCTGAGCGTAGTCGAACTCGAAGGTCTTTGTTGACAAATAACCCTTCTTTGAGTTGGATATCATTCGTCATGAAGTTGAAATCCAATCTAGAGATGGATGATGCTTGTGTGCACGATTCCCTTCATCGTGAAGTTGAAACCGCGAGTGGCACCTTCATCGTGAAGTTGAGCCTGGTAATTGGATATCCTTCATCGTGAAGTTGAAATCTAAGTAGGTAGTATTGTTCTAAGTCCAATATCCTCCGTCGTGAATTTGAAATTGGCTCTGGAAATTGTTTGTTGACAGTCAGCCGCCCCTTCGCTGTGAAGTTAAGCTTGTGTTGTCCCGAGTTCAATATCCTTCGCTGTGAAGTTGAAATTGACTCTGAATGAAACTGAAAAGTTGTTTGTTGACAATCAGTCGCCCCTTCGTTGTGAAGTTGAGCTTGTGTTGTCTTGAGTCCAATATCTCTCGCTGTGAAGTTGAAATTGGCTCTGAAACTGGGAAGCCACTTCATCGTGAAGTTGAGCCTCAAATGGCACGATATCCTCCTTCGTGGAGTTGAAATCGTGGATGTGCGGGTACGATATCCTCCGTCGTGGAGATGAAATCGCGGATGACCCCTTCGTCGTGAAGTTGAGCCTTAACTTGGATATCCTTCGTCGTGAAGTTGAAATCCAAGTATTGCATGTTGCGGGTGGACACGATTCCCTTCGCCCTGAGGTTGAAACCGTGGATGTCCCTTTTATTGTGAAGTTTGGCTTCGAGCTAGATATCCTACGTTGCAAGGTTGAAATCTACTCTTGAACCAATTGTGTCGCTTCGAGTTCAATATCCTTCGCCGAGAAGTTGATATTGACTCTAGCTAAGACCTGTCTGGAATTTTGATTCTGGAATCTTGAAGTTTCGATCCCTGATCTTGAATTATTCAAATGTTCAAATCTGATGTTTGATTTTTATCCTTGATCTGGGAAATGTTTCTCGACCATCTCAAGTATATGCATGAGCCTTGATCGGCTTCCGAGTACATGTACTTTTCAATGAATCTTTGTACAGTAATATGCAATCCAAGATGCTCAAAAGGAATTGGTTTGGAGAAAAAAAGATTGTCTTTTATTGAAAAAAAAAAGAACAAATAACACATGGCAAATATTCTGGAAGATGAAGACATGATGAGATATAAATGAATGTCTTAGATTTCAATAATGTGGGCACTTCTGAGCAGAAAAGTCGTTAGGTGACCTTGAATACAACCTTTCTAAAGGATCTTTGAGAGTGCGACAACATTCAGGAGAGTGCAACCTTTCTCTGACTCGTTGAGTCTGCGGAAAATTCAGATGCTGGGGAGTTTCAACTGTCTGGATTTCTTGAATTATCCAAATCACCCTTTCGGGTTTTCAACTTGGACTCATCCTTGGTTGCAAGACGCCCTTTGCGGGTTTTCATCTTAAACCCACCTTATTTTTGGTTCTTTCTCTTTTTTGTTCTTTCTCTTTTTTGTTCTTTTTTTAATTTTTTTTAATTTAGGGCGCCCTTTCGGGTTTTCACCCTAAACGTTTTTCATTTTTGTTTTTTTGTTTTTTACTTAGGACGCCCTTTTGGGTTTTTATCCTAAGCAAAGTATTTCTTGACTGTATCTGAATTGATGGGATATGACATTTCGGGTCCGTCCATTTCATCTAGGACAAGGGCTCCTCCGGAGAAGGCCTTTTTCATGACATAAGGTCCTTCCCAATTTGATGTCCATTTTCCTCGGAAATCTTTCTGGACTGGAAAAATTCTCTTTAGCACCAGATCTCATTCACGGAATATTCTCGGGCGTACCTTCTTGTCATGTGCTCGAACCATTCGTTTCTGATAGATTTGACCATGGTGAATGGCTTTTAGTCTCTTTTCATCTATCAGATTAAGCTGGTCATATCTGGATTGCACTCATTCTGCGTCATCCAATTTAACTTCTGTCAAGACCCGTAATGACGGAATTTCTACTTCAATGGGCAGCACTGCTTCCATTCCATAAGCTAATGAAAATAGAGTTGCCCTAGTCGAGGTTCGTACTAAGGTTCGGTAAGCAAACAAAGCGAAAGGCAACTTCTCATACCAATCTTTGTAGGTCTCAGTCATTTTCTCCACTATCTTTTTGATGTTTTTGTTTGCTGCTTCTACTGCGCCGTTCATCTTTGGTCTGTATGTAGTAGAATTGTGATTCTTTATGTTGAATTGCTCACAAGCAGCTTTCATAATTTTATTGTTCAAGTTTGTAGCGTTATCGGTAATGATCATTTCAGGTAAACCATACCGACATATGATCTCTTTTTTCAAAAACTTGCAAATAATGAATTGAGTGATACTTACATAGGAAGCAACATCTACCCACTTGGTGAAATAATCGATGGCTAAAAGGATGAAACGATGACCATTCAAAGCATTCGGATGGATTTGCCTAGTAACATCCATGCCCCACATAGAGAAAGGTCATGGTGACGTCATGACATGAAGTGGATGAGGTGGAACATTTATTTTATCTCCGTAAATCTGACATTTATGACATCTTCTAGCATAGTTGATGCAATCACTTTCCAGTTTGGACCAGAAATATCCGCATCTCATTATTTGTCTCGACATCATATGTCCATTTGCATGTGCTCGACAAACTCTGTCATGTACTTCTTCCATTATCATTTTTGCCTCTTCAGTATCGACGTACCTTAACAGAACTTGATTATCGATTTTCTTGTACAAGACCTCCCCATCAAGGACGTATCCAGCTGACATCCTTCTAATGGTTCTTTTATCAGTTTCATTGGCTTCCTCTGGATAACTTCGATGCTTGATATATTGTAAAATGTCGTAGTACCAAGGCTTAGTGTCTCTTACTTCTTCAATCTGGTAGCAATGAGCCGGGTACTCATACGACTGCATGTCAATTGACATTATTTCAGACTCCCCGCCAACTTTGAATGCGGCTGCCAAGGTAGCCAAAGCGTCAGCCATTTGATTCTATTCTCTTGGCACATAGTGGAAAGTGACTTTATTGAACTCTTCGAGCAGATCCAGTATTAGATTTCGGTATTCCATTAGTTTTGTATCTTTGGTTTCCCATTCTCCACGGAGTTGATAGATTACTAATGTTGAATCTCCGTATATTCGCAAGGTCTTTACATTTTGCCCCAGTGCAGCTCGAATTCCCAAGACACATGCCTCATATTCTGCCATGTTATTAGTACAATCGAAGTTCAGTATGCTAGTAAATGGGTAGTGACTCCCTTCTGGAGAGATCAGTATTGCCCCGATACCATGTCCTAATGCATTTGACGCCCCATCGAAATACATTCTCCAGGAACTGTCTGTTGAAGTACTTGTTTCTTCTAAGGATAAAGCCATCAAGTCTTCATCTGGGAAATCAAAGTCTATCGGCTCATAATTCTCATCGATTCTGCTTGCTAAGAAATATGATATGGCACTTCCTTTTATGGCCTTCTGGCTGACGTATTCGATGTCGAATTCAGACAATAACATTTGCCATCAGGCTAACCTTCCAGATATAGCAGGTACACCCATCATGTATTTTAGTGGATCCAGCTTGGAAATCAGTCAAGTGGTATGATACAACATATATTGTCGGAGTCTTTTTGTAGACCAAACTAAAGCACATCAAACCTTCTCAATAGGAGGATAACTATCCTCGCAATCAGTGAACTTTTTGCTTAAATAGTATATGGCTCTTTCCTTTCTTCTAGATTCGTCATGTTGACCCAAGAGACACCCCCATCAAGTTCTCGAATATAGATAGATACAAGAACAGATGTTTGCTTGGGATGGGGGACATTAAGATGGGAGTATGAGACAAGTACTCTTTTACCTTCTCGAATGTAATCTGACAGTTTTCATCCCATACTCCAGGGCTATTTTTTCGGAGAAGGCGAAAGATTGGATCACGCTTATCGGTTAACTGAGATATGAACCGAGCTATATAATTCAATCTGCCTAGAAAACCTCGGACCTCTTTTTGTGTTCAAGGTGGAGGTAGATTCTGGATAGCCTTAACTTTGTCGGGATCAACCTCAATGTCTTTTCTACTGACCACGAAGCCCAACAGTTTTTCGGACGTCACCCCGAAAGTACACTTGCTAGGGTTTAGTCGTAGCTGAAACTTCCTCAATCTCTGGAAGAGCTTTCTCAAATGCTCGACATGTTCATTTTTGGTCTGTGCTTTGACAATCATGTCGTCGATATAAACCTCGATTTTTTTATGTATCATATCGTGGAACAGGGTTACCATGGCTCTCTGATATGTTGCCCCAGCGTTCTTTAATTCAAAAGGCATCACTTTGTAACAGAAAGTTCCCCACATTGTGACGAAAGTGGACTTCTCCATGTGTTCAGGGTATATCTTGATCTGATTGTACCCCGAGAATCCATCCATGAATGAAAAATAGTTGTTCCCGGCTGTATTGTCCACCAGAGTGTCTATGTGTGGCAGAGGAAAGTTGTCCTTGGGACTTGCCTTATTAAGGTCCCGGTAATCGACACACATACGTACTTTCCCGTCCTTCTTCGGTACAGACACTATGTTGGCCACCCACTCCGGATATTTGGCCACTTGAAGAAAACCGACATCAAATTGTTTCTTGACTTCTTCCTTGATCTTAAGGAGTATTTCTAGTCGCATCCTTCTCAGTTTCTGCTGCACTGGTTTATATTCTGGTTTGATAGGCAATTTGTGGACTATCATATCTGTGTCTGATCCCGACATGTCTTTATATGACCAGGCGAACACCTCTATATACTCCTGAAGTAAGACTATTAGGTTGTGTCTTGCTTCTGTCGAAAGAGTTGTGTCGATTTTAACCTCCTTTCGGTCTTCCTCAGTGCCCAGATTCAAGATTTCGATTGTCTCTTTATGGGGCAGTATTTGTTTATCTTCTCTTTCTACTATTCTCAACAATTCGGTAGGCAAGTTACATTCCTCTTCAGTGTCGCATTCATCAAATTCCCCGAGACAAATAGCTGATTCAAAATTCACCTCCAGATCAGGATCATTAGTTCCTACATTATTGTTATCTGGGGATCTGAAAGAAGGGAAAATGTGCATGTGTGAGAGGAAAATATCACACACGAAATAATCAAGAATTGAATTCGAGAGAAAGGAAATGAAGTACCGAAATGAAGAAGATAGACAATGAATTCAAAAGGAAATAAAGGAAAATTTGTTTGCCATGGGAAGAGAAAAATGCATCTTTTATTGAACTTAAACCAAATGTTTATTCGCCCTTACAAAAGATTACCTATTGCCCTGGGTATAGGCAATTAGGGATAGTTCGAATATTACTCTGAAAGACTCTTGTAAACCACAGGTAGTTCTTAGACCGACCAACTACTAGGCAAACCTAGGTGGCAGAGGGCATATCCCAGATTCATCTTCGCTGTCAGTATTTCCAGTGGTCATGGCATTGATGCTCAGATCTTCCAAATCCGCTTCTAAGTCTGATAAGGTGATCTCAAATACATAACCACCTGACTTGAATGTGTGGCAAAGAGGCGGGAATGTCATGGGTTCCCATTGAAGTTCACTTCCAGTCAACCTGGCTAGTCTTCTCTCTCGGTTCTTCTGAACTTCTTTTCTCTTCTCATGGTAACTGGGCTGAAAGCCGAGCCCAAACCGGTCTGGCTTTGAAATAGGAAGGACTGGATCAATCCTCCCTTGCAGAAACTTCCCAAACCCTTTCCCAGTCTTGGCACCTCGTCCCAAGTTTTGCATGATCTCCATCCTGGTACACTTGGAAAGCCGGGGTCCAGGAATCATTCTTCCTTCTGCCACAAAGATGGTATTCACAAATTTTAAAGAATGGAATGAGCATTCCACCACTTCTTCATCTACTCCGATGTATGGGGCCTCCGTGGTTACACTCGCCACAATATCTTCCTCAGCATTGATAATTACTAAGGCCCTGTCAATAACAAATTTAACCTTTTGGTGTAGTGTGGATGGTACTGCACCAGCTTAATGAATCCATGGCCTTCCCAAAAGACAGTTGTAAGAAGGCATAATATCCATCACCAGAAACTCAATGTTGTAGGTGGTTGGTCTAATCGTTAGTGGTACCTTAATCTTGCCAACTACCTCTCTCTTGGTCCCGTCAAATGCTCAGACCACGTTCTGGCAGGCTCTCATATGAGGGGTATCTATTGGTAGCCTCTTCAATGTCACCAAAGGCATCACATTCAAGGCTGAGCCGTTATCGATCAACACACTCTGTAAGACATGCCCCTTACAATAGGTAGTGATGTCTAATTCCTTAGTTTGGCCTCTTTCTCCGGATGGAATCTCATCATCTGAGAATGAGATGAGATTATCAGCTTGAATATTACTTACCAGTCGATCCATCTTGCTGACTGGTATGTCTTATGGCACAAACGTTTGATTTAAGACTTTCAACAGTGCCTCCCGATGTGCTTCAGAGTTTAATAAAAGTGCCAACATTGAAGTGCGCTTTGGCAAGCTATGGAGTTATTCTACAATATTGTACTCGATATGCTTCAAGAATTTAAGGAATTCTTTAGCTTCATTCTCCTTTATAGGTTCATTGATAGCCAACACATCTTCCTTGAAGAGCTCTAGTGGTCTTTTCCCCGCCTTGTTGTCACATTCTTTGGAAGCTCTTACATGGCATTCGTACTTCCAAGGCACTTGCTGACTATCCTTGTATTGAAAAGGTCGAGGTGTCGTGATCACCACATTTGCTTGCGGAGTTACTGTTATCATCTTTGGTTTAGGAGTAATAACCAAAGGACTACCCCTACCGAGTCTTTTGTCTGATGATTCTCCGGTAGCGTAAACATCTACCTCCAGGGAATCCTGAACTTCTTCGTAAAACTCCTCCAACTCTTTCTGGTCCATCATCAGCTGGACTAATGTCCTGAATACAGAGCATTCTTGCACTTTATGTCCCTCTTCATTGTGATAACAACAATAGTTACCACTTTCACCCTTTTCTGCATATGACTGTGGTGTAAGAAGCTCTGCTTTTACCATTTGGCTCCATACCCAAGCCAGTGGAGCTTTGACTTCTGAAACACTGGTTTTAATTATCCTATCATTTTCGGTGGTGATTGCATTAATTTCGGTCTCCGGATGATTAGGCAAGGGATTCTGGGCAACGTTTGGTGTTTCAGAGTCGAAAGTGATCCAATTCTTGTTTCGCATTCGTTGTACAAGCCTTTTGAATACGAGATAACCTTCGATTGAATGTCCCTGCACACCGCCATGATATTCGCAGTGAGCATTTTCGTTATACCATCTCGGGTACGGAGGCTTCATCGGATCCATTGGGTAAGGCGACACTACATGAGTGTCGAAGAGTTGTTGATATAGCTCTTTATATGTCATGGGAATGGGATCGATCTGCTCCATTTCCCTTTCTTTTCTTGGTTCTCTCTGATCTTGGTTTGAAGTACCATACGGTACAGCTGTAGTGTTTTTTGAGCTTGAGATCGTAACACCCCTGTTAACGTTGTAAGTGTTGACATTGTTGATCTCTCAGTCTTTTTTCTTTGTGGGAGGCTTTTTACTGGAGTCTCCTCCCTCGATTTTTCCTTGTTTAATGGCCAACTCAATCATTTCACCGACTATGACTAGTTCTGAAAAACCTCCCGATGTAATTGCCACCAGGTGCCCGAAGTAAAGTGTCTTCAGGGTTTGTACAAACAACTTTCTAGTCTCCTTTTCATCCAAGGGTGGATGAACCTACACAGACAAATCCCTCTAACGTTGTGCGTATTGTCAGAAACTCTCGTTATGCTTCTTTTCCAGGCCTTGTAGCATAACTCGATCTAGTCTCATATCATTAATATGTTTGTATTGGTCCAGGAAAGACTTGGCTAGGTCTTTCTATGTCTTGATATGAGTTCGGCTGAGTTGGTTGTACCACCGGATAGCTGAACTGGACAGGCTCTCCTGAAAGCAGTGGATCAAGAGTTGGTCATTCTCTCCATATCATGTCATCTTCCGACAGAAAATAGTGATATGGGCTGATGGGCAGCTGTTCTCATCGAACTTCTCAAACTCAGGAACTTTAAACTTTGGCGGAAGCACCAAATCTGAAACTAGGCTCAGCTCTCTTACGTTCACTCCATAATAATCATGGTCCCCTTGGACCATCTTCATTCGATCTTCTAACACCTTGATCTTCTCTTCCATCTTTCTTGCTTTGTCATCTTCATTGAAATTCGGGATATTGTAATCATCCGGATGATTATCAGGATTAGTTGTGGAAGTTTGCACCTTTACAGCAGATGATGTTTTTTCTTTGATAGCAGAGGAGTTTTCTTGTGGTTTGGGTAAGATCCCGGGTGAAATAACCACTTGTGGGGTTGGTGATATGGTTACCCCCTCGAAGGGACTTCCCCCTACTGCACTATCTCATTGTAATCCCGATAACTTGGCTACAATTTGGTCGACCAAGGACTCCTGATTTTTCTTGATGGACTCCAGGGTGCTCTGATTGTTTTGAGCCATCTTATCTTCTAGTTCTTTTTGCAGTCTTGCCATGTTCTCCTCGAGTTTTTCCATTATGGCCTCCATTTGTCTCTTCTTTGCTCGAGTATTATGTGGATGATGTGTATTTAATACTTACAGTGGTAAATTTGGTGTTTGCTCTTTCCCTTTCTGAGACATGTTCTGTTAGTTAATATGAATGTAAAAACATGGAAAATATAAAAATAAATATAAAATATAAAATGCAAAGTATGCAATGCACAATGTATGCAATTTAGAGGCATTGATCCAAAAAAGTGTCTATTATTATAAATAATCCTTATTTAGACAGAAATGTTTTATCTTGTAAGAGACATAAAAAACAATCAAAGGTACGTTCGGACTAAATCCTCTAGACCCCGAACAACTTCTAGTAGGTTGACAAGTCTTCTGCCTTTATCTATCATTGGTTGAATGCCTTGTCGAACCACTCCAGCTTCCCTTTCCAGGCCGTGAAGATGACGGGCTACTTTTTGCACTTGATCCAGGAAATCTCGGATGATTGCGTCTCTAGCTTTCACCCTTTGTTGTGCTTGCTCCCAACGGAAACGCCACCGCAGACCTCCGTCGAATGGTACTATCTGAAGCTCGGCTGCTTGCTTCTTGAATCCATCCACAATAACTTCTAACTCGGATATTGTTTTTCTAGGTCAGCCATCTGGATTCTCAAGCATTGATTTTGATGTTAACTGTCTGCTAAGCGCCTCTGAGCAGTTTTCAACTGTTCTTTTCAAGCTCTTTCATCAGACCCCTTAAACTTTCTTTTTAAGCTATGAACTTCGTCTTTCCAGTATTCAGAGGTTACTTTCAACTTAGAATTATCCTTGACTTTATCTTGATACCCTTTTCTCAAATCCTCGAGCTCAAAACGGACTCTTTTATGTTCTCTTTCCAGCTTGTCTGCTCTATCTTTCTGAGATTCGACATCTAGCTTCCATTGATAACGTTCAGCTTCCAATTCTTTAACCTTCTGTTTCAGCTTGTTATTCACAGCTTCAAACTCCGCCTTAGCTATCTCAAGTTCAGAAGGGACATGCCTGAGATGTTCCTCCATGGTCCGGGTGTCTTCAAATTCTGGCACCGGGATATTATCATTCTTTTTCAGTCTTCGCCACTCCATATAATCCGGAGTAAGCATGTCTCTGGCAGCCACAACATCCATCCAGTATACTTTCTTCCACGAATCAGCTGCTTCCTTGATCCTCTTCTTATACACAAACTCTGATCTAGCTAGCCCGCATGTTACCGGGACAAACTGACGTGCCCCATACTGTCTAAGTGCTAACAACGGAGCATACCCAACTGCACCCCAAAGTCCGAGTAAGGTCATAGTATTAGAATCCCCACACCGAAAAATAACGTCACCGAGGAACAACCAGGGGGCTCTCCAGGTAATATCCTGATCCTGAAGATGTGTAAAAACTTTCATCCACTTTTCCTTTGAAGCACCTTCATACCATTTCCTAGTGATGAATTCTCCCAAAGGTGAATAGGTAGTGCTGAATCGGCGATAGGCTACCCCATTAGTCTTCCAAAAGTGGTTGTGAATCCAGACTTGAAGGAGCTGAATACACCCAACGAACCTTCCTCCGCCAGTTCTTCTGCAATAGTTGAGAGATCGAAAAGTTTCGGCTAAGATGGTCGGTGCTGGGTTGACTCGCCTTGGAAGTTGCTCGAATAGCTCTACCACGGCTGCGTCGATGCAGCCCAAAGTCTTCGGAAAGATAACCAGACCGTACAGACCTAGTGCAAAAAGGTCTATAGTGTTCAATTCATCAGGGTGGTTCTTCATTAGTTGCCTTATGTGAATCCACTCGATTCCTACCCCGTTATCTTTGTGTCGAAGTCGATCAGTCACTCATTTTTCATCAACCCCTGCAATCTTAGTTAGTCTATTCTTGAAAGGCTGACTCTTGATGTGTTTGATATATGCCCTCTCTAGTATGATGTTTTCGCAGTGCAGTAGGGTAGTATACTCTTCAATTGTGGGCACTATGTCCTCCCGGTTAAAGGTGAAACAACTATATCCCAGGTTCCAGAATTGAATTAATGCTTGGAGCAGGGGCTCATCAGTCTTGACATGGAGTAAGAGGGCAATATCACCATATCGTTGGTTGAACTTCTGCTTTCTGTCATTCCCCCAACTGTCCCAAATATTTCGCAGTTCTTGGACATCGTTTTGTTTCAGGCTGACAGATGCGTAACTAACAAGCTCTGACACATAATTTCCCTGAAGACTGTATCTCTTCTCTTTCTGAGTCTTCTCGGACCATAGTCGTGCCTCAGCGTTTTTAATCTCTTGTATTACAACACATTTGTCCATTAATTCGGATTTATTTTGTGTTTAACAAACGCTTTTTAAGGATCAATAGCCTCTCGTTATGATGCAAATACTAGAAAACAAACACAAAGGCAAAAGGATTAGTAAAATAAAAAAATAAAAAAAATGACAAAAGAAAAAAACACAAAAAAGAAAATGGTTAGGGTAAAAATATCCTAGGTTTTGGAATGTGATTTCGGGGTAGGCTCTAATTCTCCATGGTTTCCCGGTTTAGGTTCTAAAAACGGTACTCGAGTTCTCCTTGCTGGTGCCCCATTGGGCTTGCCAGACCCTTAGTCCTAAACCCATCACAAGCTTGTGTGGACTAAGTTAAAGTCGAGAGGACACATTCCCTTATGCCCGCACGGTGAATAAATTCACACGAAGACATAAGGTATATGAATCCCGAAGGCTACTTGCTATGCCCGCATGGTGAATAAATTCATACGAAGGCGTCGCTTTCACCCCCACTTAAGACAGGGTTTGGAGCTCGGATATAAAGCCTTAAATAAAAAGAATTTGAAGGCTGAAATCACGAGAAAACGATTAGTATAACTATTTACCCGAAAATATAATCAAAAGTAAGTAAAAAAGGATCGAAATATTACCTTAAAATTTAAACTTACCATTTTCGTTAAAAGGACAACTGGAAATTACCTTAGCCTGACTCACTTACCTATCACCAGCGGAGTCGCCAAGCTGTCGTAACCGTCTTTCAGTTAGGCCCCGAATTGGGCTTCGACTTGAAATAATTGGATTGGATCGCCACCGACCATTTTAAAACGAATTTAGGTGGGTCAGACACCATCTTACATGATCTGCATTTTTACCAGAAATGTGTCGGGTTCGGGAGTCGGTTACGATCAAGGAAGGATTAGCACTCTTGAATCGCCCTTTCGGTACCAATTAATTTGTCGGTTGTCTTAGTTGTGAAAATTCAAAATTTAAATTAAAATTTAACAGACCCGATTCAAATTACTTACAATTGATTGATTTGAATACCCTTAAAAGATAAAAACGTTAGATTCGTAGCGGAGTATGAAATCGAATTAGGATAGCAAGTGTGCAAACGTGAGAATAATAAATAAAACAAGAAAAAATGGAAAATAACAAAACACGTAAAAAATAATAAAAATAAACAAAATGAATAAAATGTTAAAAAACAAAGACACAAATAAAG